GAGAGAGAGAGAGAGAGAGAGAGAGAGAGAGAGAGAGAGAGAGAGAGAATGAGAACTAGATAATGAGAAAACTTAAGTTTATGAAGTTTGGAAAACAAATAGTGGTATTTAGAAATATGATATTTTGTTTATTTTTTTAATGAAAATAAGTTTTAAAAGGGAAAAGTATATAAAATCGCAACATTTTAAACTGATAACATTACAGGTTATAGTGAATGATACTCTGCATTTAGTAGACAGAGGGGAAAAAGTTCTTTATCCACACTACACTGCTATGACGTCAGTTCTAAGTACTATTATCTTTATTTTATCCAGAAGAAAAATGAGACAAGGCAAATTATATGACATGCTTAATATTATACAGAACACCACTGAAGAAGGAACCGAAACCCAGGACTAGACTCTTAATACCCACAAGGTTTTGAGTAACTTGACGGCCCTTCCTTCGAAATGACAAAGTTCAGGGACAAGTGGCAGATGGAGGAAAAAACAGAAAAAATTTTCCCAGGATTTTACTGTGCTCTTTTTTGAAGAGGGGGGGAAAAAAATCAACATGAGTTGCTACATTTAATTGCTAAGTGAAGTGTTGTGAATTATTTGCTAGTATATTTATGTTATGAAAAAAATAAAAGACCAGCCCACTCCTCACCCCTGCCTCCAACGCCAACCATAGGAAAACATTATTTATTTCTTTATGGTCACAAATATTTTTTTGGTTCAATTACACGTAGCTTAGCAGAATTATTTAGAGCTACCATTTCAAACTTTTAGATCATGCATTGTTATCAGTAAAATGTTTGAGCATGTACCCTCAATATATGGACATTTATGTACGTTTTTAAAATGCCATAGATATATTATTGATTATTACAAAGCATTCACTCACAAAAATGAAATGAAAAAGCAAGAGATAAAAATAAAATTAAATAAGAGTTTTAATGTATTATTCCCGGGAGTCCTATGATATAGTCTTAGCACATGCCCCACCCAGAGTTTTGCATTTAAGTTTGGAGACTTGCGACAGTGCAAGGTGCCAAATGACCAGGACTTATGCAAGTGAGCTTAAAGTGCATAGAAATGACTGGTTGCAAGGCATCACTGCTACTGGATAACTAAACTGGTGGCTCCACTGAGCCTTTCAATTAAGAGAATGATACATTTTTTAAAACACATTATATATTTCTGGTGTATTAGGCATCATGTGGCAGTACAAGCCATCGTTCAATACTTGTTTGCAGATCATTTATTGAGAAGGATCTGCATGCTAGGCACTTGTGCATGCCACATTCTGGAAAAGGGAAATTGCCTGCTCCTAGGAAAATTGATGGAATAGAATAGAATTCCATTCTCTTCTATGATAGGTAGGGCCTCACCAGTAAATAAGGAAAAGAGGCTTAGAACTAAATGTAATGTAGTTCTTTACCATTTAGGAAATATTTTTTAGATTTCTAACTCTCTCATTTAAGAATAAATGTCAAGAAATTTCAAATGCCAGTGATGCTCAAAAATTAAAAACCATAGCTATAATAGAGTATTTAACTTTTATAATGTAGGGTTATGAAAATAGAAATAACTGTTAGTTCTCTGGGTAAAAGGACTTTTAAAACGGTCTACTTTTTCCTTTCTTGTTTTCACATTTGATGATACAGGTTGAACTCACATGGTTAGCATGGTCTTCGTTTTCATGGCCTTGATCGTCCATTTTCTTAATTTATTTTGTGAGTCCTTTGTTGTAAGCCACAGGAAATAATTTTTGGAGAGCAAATTTAAATATGTGTAAATATGTATGTACAATTATATATGTTGTTTAAATATACGTCTATCAATAACATTTTATTTCTTTATTCATACGTCACTTCTTTATACTAATTCAAATCCTGATTTTACCACTTTATAGCTGTGTAACCTTGGGAAAAATTCCTTAATTGCTCTAAGACTCAGTTTTCTTATTTGTAAAACAGGGATAATAAGAGTGACCATAAATGAAATAACCCATATAAAATGCTTAAGCCTGGAACATACTAAACATTTAATAAATATTATTTTTACTTATCTTTCACACATACAAGCCAACGACATATGCTTTACAGAAAGTTTTCTAAGATTTAACCCTCATATCAAATGGAGTTTATGGAGCTTGTTGCAATTTAGTTGCCCAGTGTTTGCAATTTCTCTTTAGCCTACATTCTAACTCTAGCATCTCAGCACATAAATGGGATATCAGCCCTATCCCAGGATAAAGCAAACTTCCTACTGGTGGCCATTATTAAGCATCTAAAAAAGGCAAACTTGTAACAAATCACTCTTTGAAACAAGACTTGTTTTGTGCATTGAAACTCTAGATAGTTGCAGTGATGAGGGTCTACTGTACATAACAGTTTTTGACTTGTTCTTAACCTTGTTGAGCTCTTTTTTTCTCTATTAAAAAAAAAAGTAGAGAAACTCATACCTCTATCCTCAAGGCCAATGCAAAAGGACTAAAAATTGGAACTCAAGACAGGTTGGACCACTTCTCAGCACCAATGCAAAAATTCATCATCTTGAAGAGAACCAGCATCTCCTGGATCCCACTAGACTTGGGAATCAGCAAGAAAGATACCCCTGGCTTTCACAGAGTGATGCTAGGCAACACATCTCGGAATTCCCACTCCTGTGATCTGTAGCATTTTATGTGTATTACTCTTAAGGCATTCAAATACCTGGTCTTGTATTACATTTTTAGTATATTGATAAAGATCTCTATTTGATGGCAAACACCTTGAAGAAAATGATGATGTTGTGTTAATTATTTTGTCGTCCAACAGAGGCTAGTACCATTACTTGTATGTTACCTAACATTTAACAATAACTTAATAAAGATTTGTAAAACAAATGAACAAAAGAAGAAGCAAACAAAAGGACTATAAATATGAAGGAGGATCAGAGAAAATCTACAGATGAGAGAAGCGCCAGAGAAGGTGGAGGGTCCCAGATATGGTGAACAGAACTTACATTAGTTATCATAGGTTATACCTGCCTGCCTATTGTTTTCATTTTCCAAAGAACATCTGAGATAGCCTAGCATACTCACTAATATCCACATGAGGTAGGTGAGACAATTAGAGGGACTTTCTTTTTAAAGATGAAAAAACTGAAGCAGGGAAAGGTTAAATGATTCCCTCAATATTACACAGTTAGTAGCAGAGCTGGGTTAGTACTAAAGTTATATCAATAGATACCTAGTTCTGCAAGCTTTCTGCCTTGGGGGGAGGGGGAAGTCACCGAGGAGTCATTTAAGGATCGTACCATAAAAATAGGTCTCTAAGTGGACAATGGTTTTACGCTAATGGATTTGATAATAAAATCAGTAAGCACTAGCATTAGAAGGTCGTTCCAGCCAATGTCTCATTAGAAGCTCCAACAACACCCCCACCAAGGAACATCTACTATGACACATACAGCTCCTGGGAACTCCCTTCTTCCCAAGACAATCTATTTCATCTTCTGATGGTTTTGACCACTAGAGTTCTTCCCGATGTTTAGCA